AGCGTTCCAAGTTGGGACAGTTCGACTCCTTACCAGTTCGAACTTGTAACAGTTCGATTCTGTCCGCGTTCTGTTCTGGTACGTGTGCGAAAAAAGGACTTTTCTGAATTGAATCAGTTCGATTTTAGGTCTGTTCGAATTTGGAAACGTTCGAATTCGTCGTACCCCCGAACAAAATTACAGTGCATCCAAGCTGTGGACACTAACAGGGTTTTTTTTCCATAAAAAATATATATAATTAAATCAAATTAAGTAGCAAAATATCAATGGAAAAGTATTAACACCTATTAACTGCTCAAAACTGCCCAAAAAATCTTCATTGGCACAAGAAAGAAAGATTCATTGTGCAGAGTCGGAGAGAGATAAAAGGGAAAAAACACAGTCTGTATGGTTTTCAGAGAGGTTGCAAGAAAGAAACAGAATAAAAAGCAAAAAGCGCATCAGAACAGATAGAGAAACAAAAGGAAACAAAGAAAGAAAAGGCAACTAGTTGTGACCTGTAAAAAATTGAGAAAAAAGAGGGAAAATGCAAAAGATATTGAGGGGGGAGCACATAAATACAAAGATTTTCAGAACATTTGAGAGGCGCGTGCTCGAACCGAGGCATGGTTTCAGATACGCAGTGTGTCTGCGAAGCATCATATTCGACGCCACACGGCTTTTGGGGAGGGAAACCTTATTGAACCAATTACAAGGGGAAAAATAGAGGCAATTTTGCCAACAAAATAGACAAAAAAAGAGAAAAAAAAATAGAAACAGAAAAATATAGAACAAAAATCAAGTCTAGTCCTTCTTTCTCAGCTCCAACAGAGACACATTATCTTGTAGCTTCTCGATTTCGCTGAGTTGATTATTGTTGTGAAGTGACAAAGTAGAAGACGATGGCGTTTCAGGAGGCGACAATAGATACATCGAGATCGGCACACACATTATAGGCGGATCGAATGGAACATCGACTGGGTATGGAATCGGGATCAGCACCGGTGGAGGTGGGATGAATGGTGGAGAAGGGAAGGGAAGCCCTCTGCAAGAAATGTATAATTAAAAAAGCTGGAAAATAAAGAAAAGAACCGTTTCTGATGCAAATTAGGTAGTAAGAACTGAGGAGGCAGCGGTGGTCGCCTGTTGACCATTTTCTTGACGAAAGTGGAGAGCGTTTTCCTGAAAAAAAATAAGAGGAAGTTAGAGATCTCTGATTAGTGAAAGCTCACTCCTTGTAGACACTTTCTCTGGAAAACGTCTCCTTTTTCATCTCCTCCGCATCATTGACACAAATCGAAGGCTCGTGAAGCTGTTTGGCGGCGATTCGAATCTCGCGAGCAGCTCTCTGGAAACGAAATTGATGTAAAAGTATTTGAAAACACATCATTACCCTCTCCCGATTCTTCCTTCTCTTCAATTTGTCTAAAAACCTTGAGTGCTCGGACGCATCGGAATACTCGCCTTCCGATGAAGATTGCGACGACATTTCTGTCAAATGAGCGCGCTCCTCAGCTTCCAAATCGCGAAACGGTTCGATTTTCGGTGGCAACGGCGGATAGGCTTCCGGAACCTTGACACCCATCTCAAGAAGGACTGATCCAGCAAGCGCATAGGTCAAATCGATATACTGATGGGGCGCCAAGGTCCTGATCATTTGCAGATAGACATGCGGCGGTGGAAGTGGCTGAAAATCCGAAGGACTGAATCGCTGAGCGCGATTTTCGAGTGAAGTTGTGTTTGGAGATCTTGCCTGAAACTTTGCCAACGATTTATAGGAAAAAACACACTGGCCAGTAAGCTTACTGATAAACTAGTCGCCGCTTTCTTGACGGCTTCAAAAGCGTTATACGAAATCGCTCTACTCGCCGCTATCATTGCCGATGGAAGTGGTGGAGGAGGAAACGGAGGGAATGGTCCACGCAGGCCTTGCTTGAACTCGACTCCGAACATTAGAAGCTTCTGGTACCACTCTTTATGAGGCTCCAATTCGTTGGGATCGTGTACAGGTCTGAATTCACATTCCTCCTCTTCGTCTTCCTGGATTTCCACCTCTTCATCTGTTTCCAAGTAATCCACGTGGCGATTTGAACTTAGAGGACTTCGCAGCTCTAGTTGTGTCTTGCTCCTTATTGTCTTCAGCCTGAAAAATCAAATTTTTAGACTCTAAAATTGGATTCAAAAAACTCACAATGAATCCTCGTCGGAACTTTGCGGCGACGTTAACATCGATGAGTACCCGGAAGATGATTCGGCGTTTTCCATGTCAGTTCGGTTAATATCCGGCAGCATTTCGTCGTTTATTAGGCGTCAATCAATCATTAGAAACGAAAACAGGGAAAATCTGAAACAAAATCGGTTAACAATTCGAAAGAATTCGATAATTTTCGTCGAGAAAACACAATTTCAAACAAAAATGATGACATTTCCTCAAGAAAACTGTAATCGTGCCGAGACCATAAGAACAAAACCTTGTGTGTGTCTTTAACGTACGGTAGCTGAAAATTTATTTTTTTTTCAGCAATTTCAGGTTCAAAAAAGGATAATTCAAAGCAAAATAAAGTTTATTTGAACAATTCGATTTTGAAAAAATGTCTGAAAATATAAAATATTGTAAAAAAAATATTATTCGGGTGCAAAAAATCGAAGAAAACCGCCAATAGGTGTGGCCAAAGGTCCCACAACGACAACTACCGTAATCTGAAAATATGTTTTCTCCTGAGAGATGTTACAAGGGTTTAGAATAGAAAAATCTGGAACAAATAACATGTTATTATTGACACTTGTCAACAACAGTTTTCAGCAAACAGTAGACTACAGTAGACGCCACGTGGTTAATTGAGGGTTTGAACTCAAAAAATGACTAGGTTTGCTCGGCAAATATTTGATTCTTGAACAAGAAGTTGTAACATTGAAACATGAGGAACGTTTTTGTAACTGCTTATCTATTTCATAATGTTATCGGACTAGTGATTCTTATAAGATTACTCTAAGAGAGCCACCCAAGTCGTCAACTTTGAGCTCATATATCTCATTTCCTGTAAAAGATATCAAAATTTGGTTAACTGACGAAATATTGCTGATATTATGATAAACATTTTGACAGTTTACCTCCTTCATATCTTCTACGGGAAGCGAGATATATGAGCTCAAATTTATAGTACCCCTGACTTTGAGTGCAAACCATCAAAGAACGGGGATTAAAGGTGTATCCCGACGACAAAAAAAAATTATTTGTTGATTTTCTAAGTTTAAAGCAAACATTCAAACATAAAACTCCACAAATGGACATGCCAATGAGTGTTTGATATTACCCACCCCACAGAGAGGACTACTGTACCACTCGCCTCTCGGTATAAATACACAGAAACGCGTAGACATAGAGCACAGTCGGAACGAAACGAAATTTCTTTGTCATGGTGGTGCGTACTACAAGCAAAAATGAGTTGGCGAGAAAGGGTAAGTCATAGATTTTGTGTTTTTCCTTGTTTATCTATTGTATCATGTCCCTTTAAATAAATGCAGCTGACAATATTCTGAATATTCTAGAAGAATCCTAATTCAATGCTTTTAGAACCTCTCCGCGAGAAAGATTCCATTGTCAGTGTGGCTAGCACGTCTACAGCTCCACCTGGCCATCTACCAAGCACTCCACTTGCCTCCCCGACGCTTTCAGAAGAGCCTCTTCTGGACCAACATCCCGAATGGATTCAGAATCCAAAAGCGACCCGATTTCTTGTCGGTTTACTGACAAGTATGTATGTATTGCTACTCACTATTGTGTCCTGCCTTATCTCCTTATCATCCGCATGGCAATCACCTGATCTATGGCTAGCGGAGACGGTAGATAGAAAGCTCTAGAACGATCTTTTACTGATTATTGATTTTCAGATATTCTCACTTTTGATGTACGGTATTGCCATACTATTTTTCATTTACACTTATTTTATGGTAATCTATCCAAAGCCAATCAACGCTTTGATCATGTTTCTGAACAAGAAGAGACCATCTTGGGTGCCAAGACCAGATGTGAGTTATTATCTCGGTAGCTATAAGCGATATCAAAAATGTGTCAACTGATACAATGTTGGTGATAATATGATAAACATTTTATTAGTTTAAAAATTTTTGATATCTTTCATAGGAACCGAGATAATTGAGCTTAAACCCCTCTCCCTTTCTTCTCATAGCCCGCCCAAACAGTTAACTTTGAGCTCAATTATCTCGGTTCCTATAAGAGATATCAAACATTTGTCAACTATTAAAATATTGGTGATTATATGGTAAACATTTTATTGGTTCGCAAATTTTTTAAATCAATGAATGCACTACCGTAAGCGCATACGTACACTTTGAGCTTAATTACCTCGGTTCTTATAAGAGATATCAAAATTTTGTTAACTGATAAAATGTTGGTGATAACAGGATAATTAATTCATCAGTTAACTGTTTTTTGGTATCTCTTATGGGAACCGAGATAATAGAGGTAAAAATTTAGAGATGGCTCATCCCGCCACCGTTACATAATGGAGAAGGTGCTGGAACCCTCTATCTACGACTTGGAGCTCTTTGTGAGTTACATAGAGTATCTGCTCACCCTTCACAAAAAGATCCATTTCAGTATTCGGAACACTTGGCAGTGTCCTTTGGGGCTGCGAGATCTACCTTTGCTTCTCTGGCGAATGCGTTCATCGTTTGGTGTCTGCCAAAGACATTGCCGCGATAATTTTCACTTTTCTCCAAATGCATTTCATCGTTTGCAACTCGAAAATCACATTTCATCGGAATAACCATCTTGCGAGCTTTGGAATGATGCATTGTGTAGCTGTGAATATCTGGACATGGTTTTCAATGTGTTTGGTGAAAGCGGTAAGGTCAAATTTCACTGGAATTGAGATAATTGACAGAGCTTAAAGCTGACGGTATCTAACTTTTGTCTCATTCCAGCAAGTGAAACGTCTCAAGAAGGAGAAGAAGGAATTGGAACACCAAAAGAATTCGACAGCTAGCTATTCTGAATCCTCCTCCTCATCTTCATCATCATCGTCGGAAGAACTCGAAGCCACTACAGTACTAGAAGGGATAGTAGAAGTTGTAGTGGAGAAAATGAAGCCAATAATGATGTCCACAAATTCATCCTCTGCGAAAACTTATTCTTCCAACAACTACACAACTTCAAACCACACTCTTCTCCGAATGCAATCTATGGCTCGACTAGGAGACATCTCCAGTTTCTTGCTGACCTGTCTCGTAGAATATTCTTTGATCGGGGCCGCTGTCTGCTTCATAATTTGGAAATACATGGGTGCTACAAGTACGGAAGAGAACGTTGATAAGAGGAAGAAGAAGTTGAGAATGGATTGTACGAGTACTACAGTCGGACTGTTCGCTGGCATCTTCTTCATGACTGCGGCATTTGTGACGATTGGAATTTACACAATGTTGTACAATAAGAAGAACTATGGAGGTTCTGATTTGATCCTTGGAATTGTGTGCCTGATTTTGTTCTGTGTAGCACTGATAGCAACGATTTTCGGGTCATGGAGGTGAGTCTTAGAAATTTTGTTTCAAAAATTGAAGTTCTCAACTTTGAGCTCAATTATCTCAATTCCTGTGAAAGATATCAAAAATTAGTCATCTGATAAAATATGGGTGACGTTATGATTAACAATTTATCAGTTGGCAAAACTTTGAAATCTCTTACAGGAAATGAGATATTTGAGCTCAAAGTTGACGGTGTGGGAGGGCTTCTATTTGCCGGATAGAGACGAGGATTAGAATTCCCGCGCAGGGAGAAACCTAGGCCACGGCCGCCGGCAACTTTTTTGAAAAAGTGGCCGAAAATGATTTTTTAACGATTTTTATGTGAAAAAATCCGGCACAATTACATCGCGCATAAGGCGTCCCACCGTCGTGGCCTAGGTTTTTCACTGCGCGGTAATTCAAATCCTCGTCCCTCTTCGCCATCCTTTTAGGCATTTTTTGGGGATTTCAGAATTTTAAAATCACTTTTCGATGTGATATAAGGTAAATACGTACATTTTGAAACATGTTTATGCCGTAAAAATGTTTGGTTTATTTCAAAAATCAAGTTACCGTAGTCCCTCTAACAGACGCCCTATACGTCCACTTTGAGCTCATTTATCTCGATTTCTGTGACAGATAGCAAAATGTTGTCGACTAATAAATTATTTATCATATTATCAGCAATATTTTATCAGTTGACAAAATTTTGCTATCTTTCATAGGAGCCGAGATAATTGAGCTCAAAATTAACGATTTGGATTTGCTGGACATACGGTACAAAAGACCAAAATTGACTTTCAAACTTTGAATCAAACTTCAAACTTTTCAAAAACCAATTTCATGTTACTCTTTATTTGTTGAGCAAACAAAGAAGCCAATTATAAACCACTCAATTTTCAGAATGCGTGTCCTCCAATACCGGTTACATGCTCATGGAGAAGTCATTGATGAGATTCTGCTTATCATTGGACTTGTAGGAGAATTGGTTTACTGTTCGATAGGATTTGATATGATAATCAATGGAAAACGAACCGGAAAAGATGCCCCAAACCTCGCCATCGCAGTTTTCACATTTCGAATCGTTCAAGTTATCGTCCAAGCCATCTACATCCTGATTGCATCTAGATTAAGATGCTTGTCAGCTACAAATGCCCAATACCAACCTGGAAAACAGACATTGACATTTCTAATCATTATCAATATCACCCTATTCGTCTATCATGTTTTCGAGGGAATGAAGAACATGTATGGATTCCCGAGTATCATGGAAAACAAATACTTCGAGCTCCTCAACATTTCTTCTCCTCTGGTGGTCTTTTATAGATTCCACAGCTCCGCTTGCCTGGCGGAAATCTGGAAGCACACCTACTCAACAAAACATAACCATCATCATCATAATGTACAGTCTCCGATAAGCTCTCCGATTAATTCTCCGATGTCCGATGCTTCTCATCATCATCAGCAACTTGTCTAAATTTAATTTTGTAGCCCAATATTTGTCTACACTGATCTCAATCTTTGATAACGATTCTTGATGGTTTGATTCTTGCATTTTGTTTTTCATCGATAATAAATGTTCCAGTACTTCTTACATATGCCCCTGTACTTGACACATATTTGTTCTTATATTTACTGTCAGTTCAATTTAGACACGCTCTTGGCACCTTTGGCCAATCTTTGAACAAGAACAAAAACGAACAAGGGGAGAAAAGACAATGAACTAAACTACGTGTGAAATCTTTTCAAAGCACCCAATGGAATTTCGGAGTGGGTGCAAAATGTTTTATGGGTCAATAAAAGAAGGTTTCCTTGTTATTCTGACCTGAAGTTGAAGTTTAAATATTGGAAAAGGGGGTCAGAAAGTTTCACTGGGCGTCTGGCCATAGGTAACGGAACTGGGAATCTAAGGGCCATTCCTGAAGTTATGGTCATGAAACCAAATACAGCAATATGGCAAGTTTCTGGTCTGTCTCGTTCCAAATTGAGCCTACCGTAATAATATATTTTAATGTCATGCCTCTCATAGCCTCAACTTTAAGCCCATATATCTTATTTCCTGTAAAATATATCAAAAAGTGATGAGCTGATAAAATGTTTGCAATATCCTGATAAACAATTTATCAGTTGACAAAATTTCAATACTTCTCATAGGAACCTAGATAAATTGGCTCAAAGTTCAAAGCTAGAGTGTGGGTCCTCTATGTAGAGCAGAGATGTCTGGAATTAACATTTTTGAACTCGGAAGTTGGAAGTCGGAAGTCGGAAGTAGGAAATCGGAAATAAAATTTCATTTTCGGAAGTCGGAAGTCGGAAGTGGAAAGTAGGAAGTCGGAAGTGAAAAAATGTCCGGAAGTAGGAAATAGGAAGTAGGCAGTCGGAAGTAAAATTTCAAATTTTCAATTTTTTTGATGGCCTACTATAATTCCGGAGCATAATTTATGATATTGGCGCTAAATTTGAAATTTTTTTTTATTTTTCTGGTCAAAATGAACAAATTTCGCAACATTTTTGGCAAAAATTCATTGCCGGAGTTTGAGAGTCTGAAGCCGGAAGTGAAACTGGTTTTCCGGAAGTCGGAAGTCGGAAGTGAAAAAATACCCGGAAGTCGGAAGTAGGAAGTCGGAAGTCGGAATTCCTGCCATCTCTGATGAGTGATTACGGTGGTTTTAATCTGTGTTTTAAGCTTTGAATGCCAACTTTACTGTTCAAAAGTTGCTGTTTTTTAGAAGTTAACTGGTTTTGAAAATATGTATTCAACTTGTTTTATTTTCTTAATATTCTGTTTTTTTCTTCATCTCTTGTCAGCCGACACATCATAGCATTCGTTTTGCCGCATTGTCAATTTCAAAGTGATTTATCTCGGTTCCTATGAGAGATATCAAAAAGTGATCAACTAAAAAAAATGTTTATGATATTGTGATAAACAATTTATCATGTGACAACTTTTTGATATTTTTGACAAAAACCGAGATAAATTGACTCAAAGTTGAGGAACAGCTGCTTCTTCTACGGGACTATCAACAAAAATGTCTGTTATGTTTCTTTATATACTTTTCCATACCGTAACCATTTTCTATTTGCTCTTTCTTTCATGTTTACCGCCAGTTCAAAATCGTTTCGCACATTTTCTCTTGCGGTCAACCTTTGAACTAGAACAAAAGAGATTAGTGAAAAATGAAAAACGAGAACAAAGGCCTTCTTTAACTTTGAGCCATTTTTCTCGGTTCCTGTAAAATATATCAAAAAATGGTAAACTGATAAATTGTTTATCATAATATCCCCAACATTTTATCAGTTGACACAATTTTGATATTTTGTATAGGAACTGAGATAATTGAGCTCAAACTTGACACTGTAGCGGCCCTTCAATTACTGGTTGACGCTTCCTGAAATTTGGACCTCAAAGTTTAAGCTTTATTTCACAAACTGCCAATTTAGCTGAATTTTTATTTTGAAAAATGATTAACCTATACATAAACGTGCCAAATGATAAAATGACTCATCTCTTATCACCCCACCCCCACTGTTTATCTCGCAAGTGGACAAACAGATAAGCAAAATAGCTGCTAAATATAATATCATCTCTATTAATTTTAATGATGATATTTGCTCATTGTCACTTAACCTTCCGCTGTGAGCACTAACACCCGTCGCCCACCTTCAAAAACTATGTAACTTCTCCGATTGGAATTGACACCCACGGGTACAAACTGTTCTGTTTTCTCCAATTCTCTCTGATTGTCTAGCACATGGCGCTACTGATGTTGCGGTCCGAATAAACAGAAAGGCGGCGATACAATGAGTTTGGTGGTTTTGTACTCGATGTTACTTCTTCTTATTACCCCTCCTGTCTTCCGCCCCAAATCATCAGTCCGAGAGGGGTTTGTCACTATAACTTACGAGTTTAACGAAGATCAACATGTCTGACAAAGGTTAGTTTATACTTTGTCTTACTTATGATGCTAATTGATAATATAAGCTAATTTGGGAATAAATAATTCAAAAGCTAACTCGCTCCCATTGTGTCAAATTTGAGCCCTATTATCTCAGTTCCTATGAGAGATATCAAAATTTTGTCAACTGATAAAATGTTAAAGACATTAAAATAACCAATTTATCAGTTGAAATTTTTTTCATATCTTTCACAGGAACCGAGATACATGGGTTCAAAGCTTTACGGTACCTGAAATTTCCAGAAAGACTCCACATGAAAACTTCGATCGAGTCGACGTCCAGCGATGTAACAGTGTTGTCAGACTACAGTAGTACGCTGCCAGAAAACCTTCCGACATGGACCAAAAATCAAAAAGCACAGTGAGTGATAGTGGGCTACTGTAACAACTAAATTTTCTCTGAAATACCGTAAGCCCTCTAACTTCTACTTCGAGCGAATTCGTCTTGGTTCCTGTAAGAGATATCAGAAAACGGTCAACTGACAAAATGTTTATCATAACATCAGTAACATTTCATCAGTTGATCACTTTTTGATATTTTTTACAGAAAATGATATATGAGCTCAAAGAAAGTTACTCTACCAGTTTTTTTTTTTGGATTTTGACTGTTTTCAACTTCTAATTTTAAGCTAACATGTCTCGGTTTTTTTCAAAGCTATGAAAAAGTTGTCAATTAACAAAACATTGTTGATAATATGATAATCATTTTATCAGTTGACACCTTTTTAGTATCGTTGACAGGAACCGAGATAAATTGGCTTAAAGTTGGGGGGAGGGGGGGCCGCGGGATTGTAGTGTGAAACTGTAAGACTAGAACATCTTTAAACTTCGACCCAATTTATCTCGGTTCCTGTAAAAGATATCTGAAATCTGCCAACTGATAAGATGATTATCATGATATCAGTAGCATTTCGTCAGTTGACTTTTGGTGTCTTTCATAGAAAATGAGATATATGAGCTCAAAGTTGTTTACGGTAGTCCCCTTTCATTTTGTTATAGCTTTTTCTGGGTTACGGTAGATAAACACAACATACAGCTACCCCTCTCCTCACTTCCAGATACCAGAATTACAGTAACCCAACCTTCAATTTTGCAGATCCTTCGGGCTAAAATCCCTCACCGCTCTCTACACTCTTATCCTCACTATCGTCGCCTTCATCGTCGAAATCTCCCCCACATGGCAATCAGACTCCATGCACATCGAGTACACAATATTCTGTGTTCTAATGTATTCCATCGCAATTCTCTACTTTATTTATCTCTACACAGTCATTCTCTACCCCATCGTATTCAACACAATCCTCCTGTACCTGGAGAGAATCCACGTGTTGAGCGTTCATTCTGTCAAGAGATGGGTCCGTCCAGAGCCAGTGTTTACTGGAGAAGGAGCTGGAACATTGTACTTGAGATTGGGAACTTTATGTGAGTTTAAATGGTGTCAAGTGTCATAATCAGTATTAAAAATTACAGTATTCGGAACACTTGGAAGTGTACTATGGGGCTCTGAAATCTTCCTATGCTTCTTCACAGAAACCCGTCATAACATCTACGTTGTCAAGTACATATTCGCATTTGTCTTTACCTACTTGCAAATGCATTTCCTTTGCTGCAACTCTAAAATCGATCTACCCAAGAATAGCTTCATCGCTTCATTCGGAATGATGCATTGTATCGCTGTGAACCTTTGGGTTTGGTTCTCCCTATGCCTCGCGAAAGCGGTATATAAAACTAACAAGAAGACGTTGAAGCTCCAGGCAAATGAGGAGAAGTGGAAGAAGAAGAATATGACAGATATGGTAACAGAGGCAATCACAACTACAGTAGCCTACGTGTTGGAAGGAGAGGGAGAGTTCAGTGCCAGTGAGAAGCAGCTGAGATCCTTGTACAAGCTGGGTAGTGCTGCCAACTTTTTGCTGACCACACTTGTCGAGTAAGTTGTGGTTTCTGTTGAAATGTTTGAGGTTGGAAAGGAAGTTTTAATCTTTGTAGGTTTTCTCTGATCGCCGCTGCCGTGTATTTCATCATTTGGAAACACGAGGGAGAGGAGAATCCACAGGAAGCGAGGAAGAAACATGTTAGGTTCGATTGCAAGTGAGTTGGGGGTTTTTTGGTAGGAGAATTGAAATATGAGATTTTTCGGAGTTTTTTTTGGAGTTAGGGTATGCATCCTGACGTCATGGTGTACAGTGTTTAGGTTGTCGGCGGCAATACTTGCACAAGTCTCTGACCACATTATTCTATGTATTAGTTAAAACTTGTGTGAGACTTGTGCAAGACTTGTGGTAGGCTTGTCATAGACTTGTTGGAGGCTTGGCCAAGTCTTGTGTCGTTTCCATAACCAGGGAACAACAGAATACAATTCTTGACCAAGACTCCCATGAGTCTAGGACAAGCCTAATGTGCTCAGAGACTTGTGCAAGTATTGGCGCCAACAGCCGAGCGTGCCCATTGTTCGGCCACCTCAGCACCGTAGTTCAGCCGGTAGCGGTGCGGCATCTCCAACGGCGGGCTCAAAGATTCAACTCCCCGGGGGATATGTAAATATGGCTGTTTATGACCCAATTTTCAAAAACCTAAGAGTTTGAAAATTTTGGTCCCACCACGAAAATTGAAAAATATCGCTGTAACTCGTTTAGTTTTGAGCATATTTGTTTGGAAGTTATACTATTCAAATCAGCAAAGAAAACATTCAAAACAGTACTTTAAACCATACTTGTGACGGGCCAGGCCTGGCTTTTTCCCGATTTTCTGGGCCTTGAAAATTTCCTCAGGCCGGCCCGGAATTTTACAAGTATGCTTTAAACTTTCAAATCCCTCAGATCCACCTCGGTTGGAATCTTTGCTGCCCTGGTTCTCCTCATCGGATCCTTCGTCTCCATTTCCATGCACTACATCTACAACAACAGCGACAAGCCACGTGCCGCCGATGAAGTCATCGGAATCGCCGAAACTGTACTTTTCTGTGTGACCCTCCTGGCTGTTTTTGCCGCTTTCATCAGGTTCGTCATCTGCTTTCGAAAGGGGAATTCCCCCTCCCTGCAAAAAAAGCATTTCATAACATTTGTTGTCCTTTACTCATACAAAAGGCACAAAATTTGTGACTTGATCTCCTACTCTTTTGCGTATGTGTGTTTTTGTAGAATGCGCAAACTCCAGTACAGATTACACGCTCATGGACAAGTGGTTGACGAGATTCTGTTGATTGTTGGGTTAGCTGGAGAGATTGTTTACTGTAGTACAGGTAAAATTAGAAATCGAAGGATCTGGAAGATATTGAACATTTTTTCAGGATTGGATTTATATGTCAATGAGAGACTAGAGAATGTAAAAGGAACGACTTGTCTTACTGTAGTGGCATTTGTATGTAGGATTGTGCAGGTAGTGGTGCAGAGTATATTTATCTTAGTTGCTTCATGGTGTGTTTTGGGTATTCAAGAAAAATTGTAAACGTTGGATTTCAGGTTGCGTAGCTTATCAGCTAGTAATATTGCTAATCAACCCGGCAAGCAGATAATCACATTTTTAGTTGTCTGTAATATCAATTTGTTTATTTATCACACTTTTGAAAGTGAGTTTTTTTACGGGCGAGCTGCGGGGAGAACCTGGTGGGCGCCCACCGGGCGGCCGGCAGGCGGCCTGTTTTTCACCCGCCCAAATACAAACCGTTTTCTCACAACTCTATCTCTGAATAATTCTCATTTTCAGCGATCGAATCAAACTTTGGATTCCCGCACAAAATGGCGTCCGTCTACTCGGCGCTCCTGAATATCTCATCTCCTCTAGTGGTGTTCTACAGATTTCACTGTTCAGCTTGTCTTGCGGAAATCTGGAAACATGCGTATTCGACGAAACATAATCATAGTCATAATCATAATGTACATCACAAACCGTTAGAAGATCATCATATTGCTTGAATGTTATGGGTTTTTATCGAAATTACGAGAAACAATGAATTTGTATTGTATGTATATTTGGTCTTGTTTTGTGTATTTGGTCTTGCTCGATTGTCATAAAAGAATGCCACCAAAAAGACGTTTTATGGAAATATGAATTCTAGAAACCTGCAGACTCTGGTGCACCAAAGCGATTCCTGAAGTCTGGGTTCTGTTATGATTGTCCAAAGATGAACGGCGTAGTGATTTTCATGAGATGAAGCAACTTTGGCAAGCGATACCTCAGCTCAAAGTTGATCAAATAAGCTGAAACTTGATCAGTTCACTGACGAATTATTTGAATTTCGGCACTCTGGATTTGAGCTCAGTACTACGCTTTTCTCAAATGTTATGCAAGCGCAAACTTGAGTGATGGTAATTATGCACCACACGGTATACCAGTTTGGTGCAATCAGGAAAATGACAAATTCTAGAAAAATCCTAGACCAACTAAACTGTATATGATAGAACTTGCCAAGTACTACAAAATGATAATATTCGGGTTACTGTATCTTGTCTAGGAACAAACTTACAAGCCAAACACTGCCTGAGCTACGCGGTCCTAGCTTTATGGCTTCGTAACTTTGTTTATAGACAAGATACAGTAACCCAAGTAGTATATTTTTGTAGTACTCGCCAAGCTCTATCATAACTAATTCAGTAAGTTGAAAAATATTGATCCTGAAAGAAACTATGGGCTTTTCAGGTAGGCATTCCTCTACAGTCTCAACATGTGATCTCTTATACCGTAACCGCTCTAATAGAATGTCATTATATACTTGCCCTTTGAGCTCAATTATCTCGATTTCTATGAAAAATATTAAAAAGTAGTCAACTGACAAAATGCTGCTGTTGTCATGATAATCCTTCTATCAGTAGACTGATTTTGATCCTTTGACAGGAACGAAGATAAATGGGCTCAAAGTGTTTACTGTACTTCCTCGTCCCAATTTTTCCTTACTTTATGTGTTTCCGATTCTTGCACAATTTTTCTTAATTGGAACGGATGTCTCGCATCTATATTTAATTAGCTTTCCATTCTGTTAACCCAGCTAAATACGCTTTTTGGCCCGCAAACTGCAAACCCAATATGATCTATTACATCAGAATGTTTCTTTAAAAAGTTGTTTCTTTGCTCGACAACAACAGGAATTGCCTTCCGTTCACGATCACTAATCGCTAAACACAAGTAAACAACAACCTGCAACACACCTACAGTAACCCGAGATCAAACCATTATGTACACATCGAGTACAGTAACCCCTCTGGAATAAATTGAGACGCTCATCTTCTTAAATAAATCCTCGATTCGGAGCAGTAATTGAACAAACAGGCGGTCTGCCCCCGACACGTGTATTTGTGTCGCCTCCCTAACAAGTTGTTTCATGATCTGTGACAAAATGAAATGAACAAAAAGTTCATACGACTCCACCCACCCAGGGGGGGGGGGGGGGTTTTGAAAAGTCTAGGGGGTCATTTCCAGTTTCTCTCCAGCCATGACTAATGCGATTATACAAAAGGGTGAGTCTGAAAATATAGGGGCACAAAGCATAAAGTTTGTGATCATAAACATAGAATATGGAATATAAACATGCCGGCGTCTTCTGAATGATAAATTTTTTGAACATTGAAAATCATATTCTAGAAAAATGTCTTTGAATGGTAAGTTTTTATGGGTTTTTGACTTTACTTCCAACTTTGAGCCAATTTAGCTCGCTTCCTTCAAAATATATAAAAAATTTGTAAACAAGTAAATTGTTTATCAGGATATCATTAAAATTTAAACAGTTGACTATTTTTTTTATTTCTCTCACAGGAACCGAGATAAATTGACTCAAAGTTTAAAGACGGGATGCCTTAAATGCTCTAATACAAGCTCACTCTATACGTGCATTTGAGCTCATTTTTCTCTATTTCTGTGAGAGATATCAAGCATCTGCCAACAGATAAATTTTTTATCATGATATCACCAATATTATATGTATTAGTCAATAAATTTTTGATTCTTCTTGGAACCGAGATAAATTGGTTCAAAGCTGGAAGCCCCCCTTCTTGTGAATGCTACGCCATCCTAAACTTGCCCTTTGAGCTCAATTATCTCGGTTTCTTTAGAAGATATCAAAACAATTTCAACTGTTAACACATTTTTCTATCTCTTACAGAAATTGAGATAATCGAGCTCAAAATTGAGTGGTGTAGTAGAGCAATATTACACTATTTGACCCAACCAATATTGACTGTTCGCACGTTTTTTAGTAACCGAAAAGATTTTGAACGCAACTTTTTGACAAAAGATTTTGTAGTTCCACTTTCTGTCACAAAATGTTGGGTACATTTAGTCTAGCGATCTTGAGCACACTGCTCATTTCCTCTTTTCCAAAGTAAAGTAATCCGAAAGTTCGGAAGTTAGTGAGTGAGTGAGAGAGAGAGAGAGAGAGAGAGAGAGAGAGAGCCACAGAAGCATTACAAAACCCAAATTGTCAGCAAAAATGATTATGAAATTCAAAAAACGAGTTACAGTAACCTTTTCAGAATCTCTAAAAAACAAGGTGTCGACTGCAAGCACTTCGTATTCGATATCTACGGATGATTATATCAGCCATGACAATGAACCACAGTGGACGAGGAATTCTACGGCCAAGTGAGTTTTTATTAATATTCTGGAGATTCTAGATATCCTTAATCTTGACATTTCAGAAGCTTCTGCATCAACATGCTCTGCTCCATCTACGCATTGATCCTCACCATGGTCGCATTTGTAATCGAGATCTCTCCCACATGGCGATCCGAAGACATGTGGCTACCGTACTCGATATTTTGTGTCCTGATGTATGCAGTAGCAGTTTCCTATTTTATCTATCTCTATCTATTCGTGATTTATCCCAATATAATCAATTCATGCATTTATCTTCTATTCCGGAAGGGATGGCTGGTGGACCCAGGAAAATGGCTCCGCGATGAGCCGGTGTTTAATGGAGATGGTGCGGGTACAATGTATCTTCGGGTTGGGACTTTATGTGAGTCTAAAAATGTGGAAAATTTAATATCTTGATGATTTCAGTTTTCGGGTCAATGGGAAGTGTGTTATGGGGAACCGAGGTGCTTTTATGTTTTTTCGAAAACCAGCGACATGGAATTTACGTCGTCAAGTACACATTGGCAGTTGTTTTTACCTACATGCAAATGCATTTCATTTTTTCTAACTCGAAAGTAGGTTATATTTTTTTATGATTAATTTTTAGAAAACTTGGATTTTCAGATCTCTCTGAAACGATCCAATATTATTGCTAAATTTGGTTTAATGCATTGCGTTGCTGTCAATTTATGGACATGGCTTTCAATTTGTCTCATCAAATCGGTATGAACTTTTGAGACTTCTACCCGTAAAACCTGTAATAGAAGGGCTCATTTTTCTTGGTTCCTGTGAAAGATACCGAAAAGTTGTCAACCGATAAATTGTTTATCACAATATCACCAAAATTTAGAGGTGCCGTAAATGCTTTAAAAGGAGCCCACCTCATGCGTGGAATTGGAGCTCGACTATCTCGGTTCCTTCAAAAGTTATCTAAACTGTGTCAACTGATAAAATATTGAAAATATTATGACAACCCTCTTATCAGTTGACAGATTTTTGATATCTCTTATCGAAACCGAGATAATTGAGCTCAAACTTGACATGCTGGGCCCATTCTTTACATGTCCTACGTTATATTCAATTTTCACAATTTTAGAGCATCAAACATGCGAAAAAAGAAATAAAGTATGCTGAGGAAGAAGCCAAGAACGCTACCAAAACCGAAGTATTCACCAAATGGTCTTACGATTTCACAATGGACGAGTTTGGACCTCACGATAAACAACTACGAGCTATAATCAAGCTAGGAAGCAATTCGGAGCTTCTCCTAACATGTCTTGTGGAATTCTCTCTGATTGCTGCAGTTATCTGTTTTATAATCTGGAAAAATGATGATCCAAACCCAGGAGAATCCCCTAAAAAAAAAAAGAAACGAAGCTTCCGATTCGATTGCAGTGGAACATCAACTGGAATCTTTTTGGGGATCGTAGTTCATATCATTTCTACAGTAGTCATTGGAATGCATGGGATTCTGACGAAAAGCCATAAGACGAACGCAGCAGATCTTCTCGTGGGATACACGGATTTTCTGATGTTCCTTGTAACACTACTGGCGTGTGTTTTGGCATTCTTCCAGATGAGAAAACTCCAATACAGGTTGCATGCTCATGGAGAAGTTATCGATGATATTTTGTTGATTGTTGGGTTGGCTGGCGAGTGTGTTTATTCTTGTACTGGGATGGATTTGTATTTGAATGATCGGTTGACGAAGCAGACGGTTACATGGATCACAATTCCATCGTTTGTGTTGAGAATCACTGAAGTTTTGGTTCAAACGGTTTTCATTTTGTTCGCGTCCAGGTGAGCCATATCTAGATGAGTCTCAATTCATCCATGGATTCAGAATGCGATGTTACACCTACTTAAACCGTGAGAAACAACCTGGAAAACAAGTAATCACATTTCTCCTTGTTTGCAACATCAACTTGTTTATCTACCATACGTTTGAAAGTGAGTCCTAGCATTGTAGCCCCCCAAAACTTTCTCCACTTCAGCAATGGAATCAAATTTCGGGTTCCCACTCAAACTACCCGACAATTACTCTGTTATGCTCAGTATTGCTTCCCCCATTGTTGTCTTCTATAGATTTCATAGCTCCGCGTGTCTGGCAGAGATTTGGAAACACACGTATTCCCGGAAGCATCACCATGAGCAGTTGATCCATGAGCCAACGACAGAGAATACTGTTGTGAAAAAACTTTAAGCGTTATAATAAAGATTTTTCTTAAATTTCAAATTGTTCTCCCTATTTCTTTGAAGCACATTCATCTTGTCATGGTCACATCCATTGCTTCACACTCCGTAGACTCGCGGATAATTGAAATGGCTAAAGTACACATGTCATTCGTTTTGGCGCGAAACGGTTTGAATTCAAAGAATCCGTCATGTTGAAAATTTGGGTGAATGAGTTGGGGTCTCTGAAAATGAATGATTGAAAGTTGACAGATCCGTGATCTAGATAGATTTATCATATATATGTCAGCGGTTTTGAACGAATACAAGAAAAACCTGTGGTTTTCTGTCAATAAACATATTTTGTTTGTTCCAGATTTTTCAGGAAAATTAAAGGTGGGGCGACAGGAGATTTTTCGTAGTTTTTTTGTAGCTAGAGTATGCATTCTACCGTCACGGTGTACAATGCTTAGCCACTCTGCGTACAGCCGGCGTCCTCGCCTTTATGTATACAATCGGGCCCAGGCTGCCTTTTTCCCGCGTGGCTCAGTCGGTAGCGGCGCCGCACTCTCAATCCTCGCCCATGCTAGCTCAACTCCTCGAGGGGCATATTCAGACGGAATTTCGAGAACATTATTTTTTTTTCTTGTCTCCCCACCTTTAAGCATATATTTTCAGGGTACCTTCGGCGACACCCATCGATGGTTCTCTTCAACATTTCGGATTTTTTTTCTTAATTTTGTGTCTTTCAACATAAAATATTTAATTTTTACAAAATTTATTTTGCTTTGAATCATCCCTTTTTCGATCCTGAAATTTCAGCTGGAAAAAGTAAAAAAGATCAGCTACCGTATCTTATAGACGCACAAAAGTTTTTGTTAGTTTTCAGCCATCGATCTTCAATAATTCGTCACTAGCACCACCGGCGTTCTGACGATGGAACCGTTTGCCACGTGGGATCGCGAGTTGAGAGAGAAGCGAAATCAACGGATCAATAAGGAGTGATTCGGGAGTTTTTCTTGTTGTTGCTTTTTTGCTTTTGATAATGTTGTTATATTTGTTGTTTAGATAAATATTATTTGAATGAAATGCATGAACTTTAATTTGTAAACAGAAAAAATAGAGAAGAAATCAACGAAGAGATTTGAAAGAAAATTGGGAAAAAATTTGGTTGGAAAAAAAATGGGGGAATCAATAGAAAAATAACACTTTTCAATAAAGAAGAATACCGTAAAACCTCTAATAGAACGANGACCGAGTTAGATCAGCAGGTACAGTAGTCCGTCGGCGGCAATTCAAATAGCATCGTTGTTGGGCGGCGTCGGTATTGGTGAATAAAATATGTAAACTG